GTGTATCTTTAACCTTCAGATTATTGAGTTCTTATGGTATACACAACACAAAACAACACATGCAGTTATATACCTACATATATGCACAAACTCTCCAGTTATTCAGTCTGTATCATACAACTGATTGAGAATTTAATTTCATAACTTTATCCCCCAAATCCATGCCCTTTGTTGTCGTTGTGGGCATGGTAGATGGGAATCTGAGACCTAATGTTGCGGATCTCCCCCCACCATAAGCCTTACTCCTTGGATCAACCAATTTGGCACGGTCTTCTCTTCTCCCGTTTTCCTTTTCCTTCTCTTCTCTAACTCCTCCTACTTTTCACATCCTGAGGGTGAGAGCTGTGTTGAAAGGATGAAAGGCTGACTTCCTGCCTGTTATGAATGGCTTAAGGTATTTACATTTAATTGTCTAGCTCATACCCCTCATGGGGATCCTGCAGGGTGGATCGTTTCTCACCCCCACATACTCCAGGCTTGCAGGGGGAAATAATGGAGATTTTGAGGCAGTGAGACTTTTTTTTCAACAAGCCCAACTGACTTTAACTCATCTGATTCCCCAACCCCCCGCTCTCCTTTGATTACAACTCTGAGTACTGCTACTATTACCCCCTCCCCCCCCAATCCCTTGCTCATTGTTATCATGGGGGGTTTGGCCCAATGTAGGGGATCACTCCTACCTTGGACAGTTATGTTATGGTGTCTCCCATAATGTATTTTATAGGGGCTGCCCTACCAACAAATTTGAATCTGTGGTGGAAGTTCAAGGATTCAAACTTGGCCTCATTTTATGCGAGGCCAAAGAAGAATCAAGCTTTTTTCTTTTGCTCTCAACTCCAGTGCTGTTCTTTGTTCTGCCCCTCCCCTACCCCTTCCTCTTCCTACATCTCTCCCATTATCTCTTCCACCTAGTCCTTATGTTTCTACTTCTATCCCTCTCCCAAAAAAAATCTTTTGCCATTCGAAATCCAGGGACTCCTGCCTCTACCACTTCCACATGCTTTACCCCCTTTCCTTCAGACAAAACGTTCCACCCCATCTTCTACCTCTGATTCCTCTTCTCCCTCATCAGAAGACAACCTTCGTTTCTCAGATTTCTCCAACCAACTACTTTTCAGAAACTCTTGAGGACATTCAAAACTTTTCAGTTATAACTCCCCTCAAGAAAAAAATAAAAATCCCTCATCCGCCCTCCAATCTCTCTACTCCCATTCCTTCTACACAAAGTGACTGCCGACACCCATTTCTCTACTCACGTGCAACATAGCCTTTGATGTCTAGCATATTTAATTTGCATTGTAACCATTAACCAACCTAACACGTTTAATTTGATACGTCGCTTTACATATACACAAAATCATATCAAACGCATTGTTTACATTAGCATAGGATACTGTCGATCAACTGCCTTGGTTCTTGCCCAGACACAACTTACGCTAAAGTAAACAACTATTCTTTCGCTCATTCAGCCCGGTTATAGGATACTCGCCAGTTAGGCTTGTCCACGCGGCCGAGAATGAACGGCGGGCATCTACTTGTTTACCGCCTGTGACGTCATTTCTACTCGTGCCTGCCCTTGTGCCTGCCGATCATACCCGCTGGTGTCGACAGGTCTTAACAGGTCTTAACCCTCCTCAAGGGCGTCATTAGGTAAAAGTCGGTGGGTGTTGGGGAGACAGTGCCTCTTGGACTAAAAAAAAAAAAGAAATAAATCACATGATTGGTTGTAAGAACGAGATTAAGACTGATTGGCGACTATTGCGAGACTGATTTTGAAGACCGTTTACTAAAGATGATATCAGTCAATTAAACATCCGTTTGTATATAGACATATCGTCTTTACTCGGGAGAGAGAGGAAGGACGTATTCCCACACCATCTGCTCCCCATCGGCCTGTCTCATCTTTATCTTTATTTATCTATTTTTTTTTCAAAGCGATTATTCATAGGTTGAACGAATGCTTGGACTTAGCGCTTAGGAGAAGTAGCTATTGAAAATCTGTAAAATCTGTGAAATTAATCAAGTTGATCTCCACTCTTTAATATGATGGTTATATCCGTTACACTAAGTTCCAAAACAACGCTTTGAAGTAGAAGTTATTTAATATTTGAAAATGCCTTTTCCCAACAATTACGGTAAACGCAAGGAATGTGAAGAGTAAGGATGGTTAGATAAAGAAATTTAGTAAAGATAGAAAATGATATGAAATTGCAATGATAAAGAAAATAACAGTAATTGTAAAGAAAAGCAGTTTAGACACATTACATGATAGCAAACACTTGCATGTATCATGAAAACAACATATGATGAAGTCTCTCTCTCTCTCTCTCTCTCTCTCTCTCTCTCTCTCTCTCTCTCTCTCTCTCTCTCTCTCTCTCTCTCTCTCTCTCTCTCTCTCTCTCTCTCTCTCTCTCTCTCTTCTCTCTCTCACATTCACATGGCACCCCCCCACACACAAGCATACTCACAAACACATACCCACCCACGCACGTACGCGTGCACACACACACACACACATACACATACACATACACATATACACACACACACACACACACACACACACACACACACACACACACACACACACACACACACACACACACACACACACACACACACACACACACCTACAAGCACAAGCACAAACACCCCACCCCCCTCAAAAAAAAAAAAAAAAAAAAAAATCCCAGGAAATGTCTCCATGAAAACCAAAGGTGAAATAACAAAGACAGTGTTTACAACGTCCCCCCCCCTCCAAATTCTTTGCGGCGCACTTGTTTGTTCCTCTCACACCTCCGACCTTCCTTCCTCCCTCTCTGCCTCCCTCCCTCCTTCTCTGCCTCCCTCCCTCCTTCTCTGCCTCCCTCCCTCCCTCTCTGCTTCCCTCCCTCCCTTACCCTAACGTTTGACACCCTTTTTTCCCTCTCTCTGCTTTTCATTTATTCATTTATTTACTCTTTGTTTCTTTGTCTTTTTTATTTTCTTTTCTATTTTTTCCATTTCCTTTTGTGTTTTTTCCCTCTTTCTTTTATCTCTTATTTTTGCGTTGTCTCTCTTCCTTCCTAGGTCTCCTTATCTCCTTATTTATCTCCCTTCTTCCTTTTCGTTCTCCCTCCCTCATTCGTATTTTCTATTCTTCCGTGACCTCTTCTTCGTCTTTTACTTTCTCCTCCTTCGAATTCTCTCTTCTTCGTCATTTTCCTTCTCTCTTTCATTATTTTCCTTCTCATCTTCATCATTTTTCTCCTCCTCATCTTCATCATTTTCCTCCTCCTCATCTTCATGATGCTCTTCCTCTTTATCATCATCCCTTTCTTTCTCCTCCTCTTCATCCTTTTCCTTACCCTAGTCCTCATTTTCCTCCTCTTCCTCTTCATTATTTTCCTCCTCCTCCTCCTCTTCATAATCTTCATTCTCCTCTTCTTTATCATTTCCACCACCTCCTCTTCTTCATTTTCCTCCACCTCCTTTTCGTCATATCCTTCCTCCTCCTCTTTATCATTTCCACCACCTCCTCTTCTTCATTTTCCTCCACCTCCTTTTCATCATATCCTTCCTCCTCCTCTTCATTTTTTTCCTTCTCTTCGTTATCTCCCTCTTCCTCCTCTTCTTCCTTCTTTTTTTTTTTCTATTACTTTTTTCGTTAAGGTCAGGATTTCCTCTCCGATTACGTCTTACTTTTTTACTTCCTCATTCGTGTAAAGAAAAAGAATCATTTAAGTCATATCATATATATCATATGTGATAATCCGATGTCAGGAAACGATTTTGTTATTGTTATTATTATCATTATCATTATCATTATCATTATCATTATCATTATCGTTATCGTTATCGTTATCAATATCAATATCAATATCAATATCAATATCAATATCAATATCAATAATATCAATAATATCAATATCATCAATATCATTATCATTATCATTATCATTATCATTATCATTATCATTATCATTATCATTATCATTATCATTATCATTATCATTATCATTGTCATTGTCATTGTCATTGTCATTGTCATTGTCATTGTCATTGTCATTGTCATTGTCATTCATTATCATTATCATTATCATTATCATTATCATTATCATTGTCATTGTCATTATTATTAATTGTGTGTGTGTGTGTGTGTGTGTGTGTGTGTGTGTGTGTGTGTGTGTGTGTGTGTGTGTGTGTGTGTGTGTGTGTGTGTGTGTGTGTGTGTGTGTGAATCCCGAGCCAGGTGATTAAATCATTCACTTTCAACTTACCGTAATTATAAACAAACAATCACTCTTTTTTATGCAAAAAGTAATATTCATTTTTATCTGATTCTCACGGACCCAAAACCCCTGCTTTCGAGTGTAATAAAATAATTGCTATATTCCAGTTAATACTCCTGTTTGCAACTTTATAGTTTATAGTATCATCTAATTGGCCTCGAAGTAAGTAAATGATCTAAAAGGTGTCTTGCTATTTATAAACATGTTGAGTTTGTTTACAATTGTGACGTCATGTAAACCTGTCTCGCAATAAGATGGTAGTTTGGTAGTTTGAAAATGTTTGGTTGCTCGACACAGAAACAAGATAGCTGACCATGGATTTATGTCAAAGAGAGAAAGAGAGAGAGAGAGAGAGAGAGAGAGAGAGAGAGAGAGAGAGAGAGAGAGAGAGAGAGAGAGAGAGAGAGGGGGGGGGAGGTAGGAAAGAGAAGAGACAGAGGAAGAGAAGGAGAAGGAGAGAGAGAGAGAGAGAGAGAGAGAAGAGAGAGAGAGAGAGAGAGAGAGAGAGAGAGAGAGAGAGAGAGAGAGAGAGAGAGAGAGAGAGAGGAGAGAGAGAGAGAGGGGGGGGGGAGGTAGGGAAGAGAAAGAGAAAGAGGAAGAGAAGGAGAAGGAGGAGAGAGAGAGAGAGAGAGAGAGAGAGAGAGAGAGAGAGAGAGAGAGAGAGAGAGCGAGCGAGAGAGAGAGAGAGAGAGAGAGAGAGAGAGAGAGAGCGAGCGAGAGAGAGAGAGA